TTGTCGTTGTTGCTTCTCTTCACGAGTCTTCTACTCGAACAGCTGGTCACACTAATCCACAAGGAGAGCCCACTCCTAGCTAAAGATGTTCCTTGGACCGTCGCACCCGTAGCGGCTGCACTAGGCATCGTTCTGGTTCTCAATATGCCTCTCCGAGACCCAAGGCTACCTAGGAAAGATATTAGCCCAGCTTTTGCCACTCCCACGGTGCAACTTAGGACTCCCGAGGATAACTTGACTCCTTGGCAGTACATGACAGTGTCATGGATGGAACCATTGATCAAAAAAGGCGTGACACGTCAGATGGAAGACGAGGATATATGGGATCTTGGCTGGGAATTCAAGCACGCGCGGCTGCACGAAGCATTTCGAAAACTACAGGGTTCGGTGACAAAACGAGTCTTCATTGCAAACGGCATGGACTTGGTTTTTACGACTGTCCTCAACGTTGTTCGTATGTGCGCAAGTAAGTGACGTTCCCCTTATTGCTTGAGACGAATCTAACACCGGCAGCTCTACTCACCCCTGTGCTTTTGCAGCGGGTCCTCGCATCCATGGAAGATAAGAACAGCAGTGCTACGATCACCTACGCCTGTATCATTCTCGTCTTGAGACTAGCATCTGCCCAGCTTAACATCTTCAATCTGTGGCATCAGAGGCGGTCATACGAGCGATGCAGAGGCGAGCTCATCACCATGCTTTACGAGAAGACTCTGCATCGTAAAATTTTGGGGGCCAAACAAGACGTCAAGGAAGATCAGACGAATGGCCACAGTAACTCTGAAGCAGACGAGGCGGGTAGCAGTCTTGACAGCACGAGCAAGGCAGCAAGCGGAAGCTGGCTACAACGTGTGGTCACTTCCGTCCGATCTATGTTCACAAAGAACATCAAGACACAGGTCAAAGACGAAAACCAGGCTGCATCGATGGGCAAGATCCTCAATTTGATGCGAAACGACGCTTATGAGGTAGCACAGCGCTTCTGGGAGTTTTCTGATATCATCACTAAGCCTGCAGGTGCCATATTCGCAACCATACTAATATGGCGAATGTTAGGTTGGGCGTGCCTACTTGGTGTTTTGGCACTGGGTGCTTCTCAGCTCCTTAACATCGTGATCGCCCGCTTTCAGGTCTATTTCGAGAAAAAGCGCAGAATTGCGACCGACGAGAAACTGCAACGTACAAGTCAGTTCATAGAGTCCATCCGCCATCTGCGCTGGTACGGCTGGCAAGGCGCATGGTTGGAGGGAATCCTTGAGTCTCGTCAAAAAGAGCTGCATCTTCGTGTGGTCAACATCATCTTCTCGACATCGCTCTCCTTCATTCTCCGCTTCGGATCGGGACTATTCCCTGCGGTTGCCTTCTACGCTTTTACTAAATTAGCCGGTCAGCAGTTACGCGTTGATTTGATCTTCCCTGCTTTCGATCTATTCAATCTATTAGAGTCGTACCTCAGGGCGCTTCCGCAACTCGTCACTACCGTGCTCAATGCATACGTTGCGATGGGTCGCATTGAAGAGTTCATGGCCGAGCCAGACAAAGAAGAGACGGATGTAGTACCAGAAGGGTCTGCTGACCTCGGCCTTCACAATGCATCTTTCGCGTGGCCTGGGGTTGACCACGATGTCCTCCAGGATATCACGTTATCTTTCCCCCCAGGACTGACCGTGATATACGGAGAAGTCGCTGCCGGTAAGACGGCGTTGCTACAAGCCTTACTTGGCGAGCTTGACATCACAGCTGGTGAGCTGGTGCGGCCTGATCAGGTAGTAGCATATTGCGCACAAACGCCATGGCTCCAGAGCATGAGTATTCGCGATAACATACTTTTCTCCTACCCTTACGAAGAGGGTCGCTACAAGCAGACTCTGGAAGCGTGTGCCTTATTACCTGATATGGCAGAGCTCAAGCACGGAGATCTGTCGAACATTGGCGAAAACGGCATTGGCTTGTCTGGTGGTCAGAAGGCTCGTGTAGCATTGGCGCGAGCTGTATACAGTCGCGCGAAGGTACTTCTTCTTGACGATCCGCTATCCGCCCTTGACCACCAGACAGCCGAATTCATCGTTGGCAAACTACTAGCTGGGCCATTACTCGATGGCAGAACGACTGTTCTTGTCACACATCGAACAGAACTTTGCCACGGTATCGCGAAGCAATGGGTCCATTTAGAACAGGGCAGAGCGACTCTTCACGAGCCAAGCCAAGTTGAAGACGCGAATGCCCTAAAGCGCACCCAGACCAATGATACTGAGTCAGAGGAAGACGCCAAGAAGCGAGAAGAAGAGCAAGCAGCGGCTGTACCCGACAAGTTTATCGAAGATGAACATCGTGAGAAAGGTGGCGTCAAGTGGAGTGTATACTGGCGCTACATTAGAGCAGGTACGCTGCGATGGTGGTCTGTTGCCATTATCGTCATGGCCCTCTTCCGTGTGCTGGATGTTGCGCAGACATGGTTCATTAAGTCGTGGGCAGAAAGTTACAACGAGGATGATCACAAGGGTATCTTCGACTTCCTGCCTCCAGCCGCAGACGACGTGGTTCCATGGCTCTGGACTTTCTTCGGATTTGTCTCCGCAACTGCCATACTTTTCTGGTTCACGAACCTCATCATGTTTGGCGTAGGCTACCATGCCGCCAAGACCATCTTCAGAGAGACCATTGAACGCGTTGCACATGCGACATTCCGATTTTACGACGTAACGCCAGTGGGACGACTGATGAACCGATTGACAAGTGACATGAACACCATCGATGGCGATCTGAGCACTGCCTTCATCGTCTTCGCATGGCAGATCATAGGCTGGACAAGTGCTGTCATTATCATCTTATCTTCGACACCAGCTTTCTTAGCTTTCGGTTTGGTGCTTAGCTGCGGATTCGTCTACTACTTCTTCCGTTTTCTGCCAACGTCGCAAAGCCTGAGACGGCTCGAAGTAAGTCACTCGGCCTCAATCAACATCTCATTACTGACTGGAAACAGATGGTATCACTCTCGCCACTCATGAGCAATTTTGGCGCACTTTTGGAAGGCCTCACAACTGTGAGAGCTTTCAGCGCGCAACAACGATTCCAGACCCGTGTCATCGAGGTGGTCGACAACTTTCAGAAGAATGATCACTTCTACTGGTCACTTCAAGCATGGCTTGCGCTTCGCTTCAGCGTCATGTCGGCTAGCGCTACGCTCGTTATGACCCTCATCGCTGTCTACACCCACATCAGTCCCGGACTCACTGCGTTTGTGCTGATTACCGCTGGCAAATTTGTCATACATACGGAGTACATGTGCAGGATCTACGGAACGCTGGAGATGGACTTTACCAGCGTCGAGCGAGTGGTGGAGCTCCTTGACATCGAGACGGAAGCACCAGGTGTTGTTCAGCCACCCGCACACTGGCCTACTTATAGTGGCGACATCGAGTTTGATGATGTGACCATCCGATACGCAGAGAACCTCGAGCCTGCGCTGCAGAATATCACTCTCAAGATTCCAGCGGGATCCAACACTGCAGTCATTGGGCGAACGGGTTCTGGCAAGTCTACCTTGGCGCTCTCCCTCCTTGCCACCATTGCTGCAGAGAACGGCAAGATTTTGATCGATGGAATCGATATCTCCACCGTGGACAAACAGGCGCTTCGCAGTCGCGTCACTTTCCTCGCGCAGGAACCAGTTCTCTTCCCCGGCACCATGCGCAAGAACCTGGACCCGTTATCTGTTTACTCCGATGCGTCTTGTCTATCTGTACTGCAGAAGATTGGCGGTGATCAATATAATTGGACGCTCACAACCTCGATAGAAGGTGGTGGCAAGGGTCTCTCACAGGGCCAACGGCAGCTTGTTGGTCTGGCCAGAGCCATGTTGCGGAGAAGCCCAATACTGATCATGGACGAGGCGACGGCCAGCATTGATTTCGAAACCGCGCAAAGAATACAGAGCGTTCTTAGGGAGGAGATGAAGAGCAGTACAGTAGTCATCATCGCGCATCGACTGGAAGCAGTCAAGGAGGCTGACTATTGTATCGTGCTTGGAAAGGGCAAGTTGGTCAAGGCTGGCAAAGCCGAGGACATGCTTAGGGAAGGCGGCGAGTTCCAGGGTATGTTGGCGTAGAGGTATAGGGGAAGATGAATCCGGCTTGCAGAGATTGTTACAATCAGGTTCGGTTTATGGTTGGCGTTCTAATCTCGACTAGAGGAAAAGTTATTGACATAGACTACTTGTATCGTATCGCTGTTTTTCAATTCAACGACTTTCTTATCGTTCCGTCTTCTTTACGACGTTACTACGTTAGGCAGCTGTGATTACATACCGTCGATGACAGCAAATCTAGGCCGAGGTCTCCCGCTCTATATGGTTAGCGTGATCACTCATGCAAGTATGGAGGTGAAGGTGAACGTACGACCGTTTGCAGGTCTAGCTGCCCAATTGCGGATGTTCCCAAATAGGAAGCTTCCAGACCAAGCGTGGATTGCGGCAACGTGACTGTCCTTGACGATGCCCGACAGTCTTCAACGCTGCTTGTGCTGCTTACTGATGCCATGTCGCAACGAGGACTTTTTGTGTATATCACGACCTGTCAGAAGCACATCGAGTGTATAGCATGGGTCAAGCGTTGTATTCTTTTTATGTCACGGTACTCTCTCATGCAAGCACCATTGATTGCGGACGTTCAAAAAATCAATGTCGCTCCTGAAGCCGGATTCCGGGTCCAGGCATGAGGCTTGCGTGGCACCGCCACGATTTGCGTTAGTCGGCAGGGATGTGGGGTGAGCGCATTGGTCGCATTTGGGAAATCGCAGACGCCGCATGTTCCGCGCCTGCAAAGCCTCGCAAACCTCAGTTGGCTTTCATACTCGCCATTATTCAGCATGCGGTGACACCCGAAGAGCCCCTCCAGACTTCCGAACCATCTTGAATCGCTACTGCGCCTCTGAAGCCGCCCTACCACGATCCGGAGGTGTCGTAAGCTCCGCAACCATACAGCATCACGCGGACCCCCGAGATGGCTGCCAACACGCAGTCAGACAGCAATGCAACCTCTCCAGGCGACCACGAACTCGAGGTCATGGCGGACAATAAGCCCAGCCTCCCGGTGGAGGAGGACATCATGCAGCTGGCGCGACTGGGTGAAATTGCGGCTATACAGAAACTCTTCGACGGCGGCAAGTTCGATGCGACATTCAAGGACGAGCAGGGCATAACGCCGCTACATGTGGGTATCAAAGAGCATTGGAGCATGTTCCGGGGCTGACTATGAGTAGTGGGCGGCTATCAACAACCACTACGCGCTCTGCCACTTCCTCATCCAGGCCGGCGCGCCCATCAACGCAAAGGGCGGCGATGCTGTCGCGACACCCGTGCTCTGGGCCGCAAAGCGCTGCAACTACTACATCGTCAATCTCCTCCTCGACCACGGCGCCGATCCGCTCCTCACCGACGACCAGGGCTTCAATCTCCTGCACAGCGCAACCCTCGATGGCAATGTGTACCAGATTGTCCTGCTACTACACCAAGACATACCCGTGGATATCGCAGATCCGCAGAGTCACACCCCGCTCATGTGGGCGGCATACAAGGGCTATCCGTCTTGCGTGGACCTGTTTCTCCGATGGGGTGCCAACGTATATGCGACGGACGACCAAGGCTTCACGGCATTGCATTGGGCGCTTGTCAAGGGCAGTCAGGGATCGATACAGAAGCTGCTCGAGTACGGAGCGGACCGGTTCGCTAAGAACAACGACGGCAAGACGCCAGAGGTCACGGCGCAGGAGATGAATACCACCCGGCAATGGCGTCGCGCTCTCATGGAAGCTGGCTTCGACAAGAATGGAAACGCGCGGCAGTTCCCCATCCCGGGAGTGAAAGACACGAGGTGGTTCCTGAGCCGATTCATCTTCTTCTGGCCCTTTGCCATTCTGTTCGTTGCGCTTTCTCTTGTCAGCCATCTGCCAGCGTTTCTTGGTATACCATTGGCCGTGATTTTTGCGTACGTTATGCAATGGGGAGCGCAAAGGTTGTTGCGCTGGGGTCCGTCGAACATGCGGAGTATACATCATACTGTGAGTCGAGTGCTCAAACACTTGCGCCTAGTCGCTGACGAGCTTCCAGCCTTTCCTAGCCGGTATCTTCGCTGGCACGCTTTTCTGGGTCGGTGCACGGTGGGCAACGACTGTATTACCATGTAAGCCATCTTATCTTACACACAGATATCTCGCTAACACAAACGAGGGACGATACGAACGAACTTTCTTCTTAACTTCCTATTTGCGGCGTTTTACGCATCTACGGCCTATTTTTACTTCTTCACTATGACCACTGATCCCGGCTTCGTGCCCAAGTCGGCGAGCAGAAGTGCATCCAAAGCGGTTATTGATGAACTCATGGAGCTACGACAATTTGATGAACACCATTTCTGTGTGAACTGCATGGTGCGGAAACCTCTGCGCAGTAAGCATTGCAAGCGCTGCGAGCGCTGCGTCGCGAAGAGTGATCAGTAAGTGTTCCACGTAGGCAGTGAGGGTGGTACTAACTATGACAGTCATTGCCCGTGGGTTAACAACTGTGTGGCGAACAACAACCACAGACACTTTGTTTTATACGTACTGTCTTTGGAGCTGGGCATTGTCATGTTCATCAGGTTGGCACTTGCTTGTAGGTCATCACACCTTGATTTTGCACCATGAAGCTAACTGAAGCAGACTTGGAGATACGTGACGCACCCACGGATTACCCCAAATGCGCCGTCATCTCACCGGAACTTTGCAAAGTCCTCAACAAAGATCCTTTCACGATTGTGCTCTCAATATGGGCAGCTTTCCAGTTGACTTGGGTAACCATGCTTCTCTGTGTCCAGCTGCTTCAGATTGCGCGGAACCTCACAACCTACGAGAGCATGCGCGGTCATCTTCATGGCGCTACACCCGCAGATGCACTCAACTCCTTTGTTACGACCGGCGACACCAGTCAAGATGTATCTGGCGGTGCCGGCAGCGCACCAACGAACGGGTTTGGCTCCGGTCAAGATACGGGCGACATCCCCCGGCGTCCTCAACCGAAAGCCTCCATCTGGGACCAGTGGAAGCGTCTCCTGGGAATCGACACATTCCTTACCATTGCCCTTCACGGAAGTCAAGGAGAGCAAATACGGCGGCAAAGGAGAGGGAACCCCTTTTCACGTGGCATCGTTACAAATTGCAAGGATTTTTGGTGCGATGCCAGTCCAATGTTTGGCACGAAGGAAAGTGGTTATGCGAGGCTTGGTGGTGAGCGAGTAGATTATACGAGGTTGTATGAGGTGCCAAAGATGAGGTATCAGCGGGGCGGAGGAGGTGAGGGAGGGAGATACGAGAGCGTAGCTGCGGAAGAGGAGTCATGATGATGATGCAGACGGTAGTAATATTAATGATGATGAAGAGTGTGAAAGAGTATCTGCGTATAGACACGTGCGAGTACCTTCGATGCACTTTCGCTGCCTCCATATCGGCTACTAAAGTGTTGCCGAAACCCCTGCAGCTTCAGCCATACCGGAAGCCAGAAGCCGAGGGTGCAGCGAAGAAACTCCCCGCGCCACCCTAAACAACCCGTCGTGGGTCGCGCACATGCTCGACGCTCCACAGCCCTGCTCAGCTCCGTCGCCTGGCGTTTTTGCTGAGCTTTCTTCTCCGCAATGCCATAGATCCCGACTGTTTCTTTCCTTACTGTCATCGTCGCGAGCTTTTAGGCTGTGCGCCAGATGTCGAAAATGACATCATCCGAGGCCCTGAGAGGGTTGAGGACCCTTTCGCGGTGCGCTGGCCCGGCGCCGAGGAGCATCACGGCCGGACAGAATTTGGCTGTCGACAGCAGAAGAGCGCTATGTACGGACTGCGCAAGGAATTCGAGAGCGACGAGCAATGCGCGAGGGCTTGTTCTGGCACGCACGAATAAGCTGGCGCATGCTCCGAACAGAGTTTCGTTTGCGCCAGTGGGCCGCAGAGGATACGCACAGGTTGCGCAAGAGTGTACGTTCGGCCATTAGTAGAGCGGCTGCATGGACCGAGTGCTGACCTTGCTAGATGCACCGGACCAGTCTGAGCAGACCCATGGGCCCATGGCCGAGTACGATGCGCGTGTTGAGTCCGGACGACTGCGAGACGACGAGCACCAACGCAACATCATCAAGAACCTGCAAGATCTCCACGACATGCTGAAATCCTACACGCAACCGCCCGTTCAACAACCTACCATCGAGTCCCTACAGCCGCCCAAGAAGTCGTTCTTCTCCTTCCTGACATCGTCCAATCCCGCGGGCTCGGCCCTACCACCTATACCCGATTCGCTGCCAAAGGGCATGTACATGTTTGGCGATGTGGGCAGTGGGAAGACAATGATGATGGATTTGTTTTACGACACTTTGCCGCCGAACATCAAGAGGAAGACAAGGATACATTTCCACGCGTTTATGCAGAGCGTACACAAGGATTTGCACAAGATGAAGATGCAGCATGGGAATGATATTGACAGTATACCCTTTGTAGCAGCCGGTATAGCGGAGCGCTCCTCCGTCCTCTGCTTCGACGAGTTCCAGTGTACGGACGTTGCCGACGCTATGATCCTGAGGCGATTGATCGAGAGCTTGATGGCCCACGGAACCGTCATTGTCACGACAAGTAACAGACACCCGAACGACCTCTACAAGAACGGAATACAAAGGGAGAGTTTCGTGCCCTGCATAAACCTTCTCAAAACGAGGCTTACAGTCCTGAACCTGGATTCTTCGACAGATTACAGGAAGATTCCACGGCCACCAAGCGGTGTATACCACCATCCTCTAGATGCATCTGCACAAACACATGTAGAGAGATGGTTCCGCTTCCTCGGCGATTTCGAAAACGACCCCCCACACCCCGCAATCCATGAAGTATGGGGAAGAGAGGTCCGCGTGCCGAAGGCCAGTGGGAAGTGCGCCGTATTTAGTTTTGACGACATCATCGGACGCGCTACGGGAGCAGCCGATTACCTCGAACTCACGAGACAATATGAGGCGTTTATCATTACAGGGGTGCCTGGAATGAACCACAGGTCAAGAGACTTGGCGCGGAGATTCATCACCTTTATAGATGCCGTGTACGAATCAAGGGTAAGCGAGATGCTGGTAGCACAAGACCCTATAGCAAAAGGCTTGTGATTGGAGTATACCATGCTAACGTAAACCTAGGCCAAGCTAGTAATGACTACAGCCGTTCCACTAACGTCCCTCTTCCTTGACCAAGCCGAACTCAACGACGCGGTAACCGCTACACAAAAGGCTGGGAAACTTCCTACCACAGCCTCTTCTTCATCAAAGCCGCCTGCCAAGTCTGCGCAAGCGGACGACCACGAAGCCATCTCGGACGTAATGCGCAATCTCATGGACGACCTTGGTATGAACATGGATATGTTGAAGAACAGCAGTATCTTCTCTGGCGATGAAGAAAGGTTTGCATTCGCGAGAGCGTTGTCGAGATTAAGTGAGATGGGGAGTCAAGAATGGGTTGAACGCGGACTGGGCCTTGAAAAGAGGGGTGGAAAGGGAGAGATGGAGGGCTGGCAGAAGGTTAGGAGTAGGTGGAGAGAGGATAGCATGTAGGCGTGAATGCTTGCAACATGACATATTCTGCCATGCTTTGAAGCTACCATCATTCCATTGATCTGAACATGACAATCTTTATCAAAGCTCCCAGGCGAAAGCTGGTAAATATTTGGCGCCCAGCGTTTGTGATGGACTTTTCTGCGGGGACATGCATAGAGCTAGAGTACGCCTTTGAGCGAAACCTGAAACCTATACACAAGTGGGTGTCGTCGACAACAAGTCACTGTAGACCCTTAGTATCCTAATCTGAGAGCCGCCGGAAGCGGTCGATGTGCTCTTGTCTTTGAGACTTCATTGCTGGGCCGGAGAGATCAGAAGAACGATCAGAGGACAGTTTTTCGATCTTGATTCCAAAACATGTCAAGATAGTCGTGATCGACGCGTCTCCTTGTCCGATAATACTGCGATGTGCGATGCGGTGCTTATGTCGGACGTTGGGCATCTGTACGTGTCAGGCCACGAATCGTCATCATCGTACCAGTGGATGGAAATATCGAGATGCCGTGGTGGTGAGCAGTCAGGCATTTTTGATCGACCCGGTTCATTTGGCCGAAACCTGCGGAGCCGCGGTATGGCCGGCCGACATGCTGCTCGCTGGCACACAGACGTGATCGCCTCGTGTTCGCCAATATTGCTAGTTTTCAATGCGATTGTCGGGCGGCAACGTTTGCGGTCAGATTTCATTTCCTAGACAAAGGCTGCAGAGGCTAACGAAGCACATGTTGCAACCACGCGTTTCCTAAAAGTAGCGTGGCGGAAACGGCGGAGGCGGCAAGTATCGCGTGCAGTTTGGCTGTGGCTGAGGTGTTGCAACGAGAACCATGTCTGGAGCATGTCTGAGCACGTCTGAGCACGTCTAACGATGTTGGCGGTGAAGGTCAAGGCAGCCAATAACGCGGGCTGCTGGAAGCGTCCCAAGTCACATGGACCTTGGCTGTACGTCATGGCCGCGACGCTAGCATAGGTAGCCGCGATATGCACGACCGCGGGCCAGCGATAACCCTCCTTCTTGAGCACGCGCATTGTTCGTAGTAAGCACATGTTTGTGCTGCCTCCCCAACGTGGATATGGAGACTCCACATCCCGTCACCTGTCCTTATCGTGCATCTGCAGCGTCGTGGAGACTCAGGGTGTTGGTGTGGAGAGAGGGTCCTCGTGAGTCTTGCGCTGAACAGACTAGTCATCAGAGGCTTGGTATCGATTACAGGCTGCGGCGTGTGATATAGACCTTGCTGCCTCTCCAACACCCCTCTTGCTCTGTTTGTGAGTATCCTTTCCAAGGGCAGACGGCATGGTCAACTTCACTCCCTGGCGGAAGCCGCAACCAGCGGAGGCGGGTGCTGAGAGTTCGACTGCCACATCCACCACACAAGAGAAGGATACCCCACGGCCCAAGTGGAATCTGGGGATCCTGAGCGACCCACAGACGGACGAAGTGCCTGGTAAGGACGTTCCTGCACTATGATCGATACACGAACAAACAATTAATACCCTCTTCACAGGCTCCGTTATCCTTCTGTCCAAGACGCACAACCGCAACGAGCCGCTAGGACTGCAGCACGCCCACGCACGCACATCCGCCTCGTCGCTACCCACCACACAGCGCCCCCAGCCCCTGCGAACTGCCTCGCATGGCTCCCGCCAGTCGTCCCGTTCGCGGCGGCCCGAGAAGAAGCGTACAAAGGACGGCCGCTTCATTCTGGACCCTCAGCCCGAGGATTCAGCAAATGACCCGCTCAACTGGGCTCAGGTGCGACGCGACCTCGCTCTCATATCGCTCGGCTTCTACTGTATGGTCGGAGGAGGCATGACGCCGCTGTTGGCTGCTGGCTTCAACGACGTGGCTGATACATACGACGTGACGATTCCCCAGGTGGCCTTGACTACAGGCCTGTACATGTTGGGACTTGGTCTCGGCAGCGTCGTTGCATCACCTACTGCCATCTTGTTTGGCAAGCGACCCGTCTACCTGGGCGCAATCATACTGTTCACCATTTCCTCGATATGGTGCGCCGTGTCGCCGAACTACGCTTCACTGGTGGTGGCTCGTATTGTCCAAGGCTTTGCCGTTTCTCCGGTCGAGTGTTTGCCCAGTGCTACCATTGCCGAGATTTTCTTCCTCCACGAAAGAGCGTATCGCCTGGGTATCTACACACTACTTTTGCTCGGCGGCAAGAACCTGATTCCCTTGGTCAGCGCCGTTATCGTGCAAACGCTCGGATGGCGATGGGTGTTCTGGATTACCGCCATTGTGGTCGGCTTCTGCTTCTTCCTCATCTTCTTCTTCGTGCCCGAAACATTCTGGGACCGAGCACCTAAACCAGCCAAGCGACACACTCGCGCCCGCAGTAAGAGTCCAGGAAAACACCATGGACATTTCCACCTGCCAAATCTTCATCATAAGAAGGCCACAGACGGACAAGCGCAGCACGTATCGTCAATGCCAGCGACGCCCTTGCCAGCATCGCCTCTGGCGGGACCTCACGAGCAGCCTGCCAAACGCCACAAGAACGCCCATGTTGGATTTGCAGAGCCGGATCCCGATGAAAAGACTGGCCACGTAGATATGGCTGACGAGACTGTACGCCATGCAAGTGTTCCGCCAACTCCTCGCTCCCCGATGAGTATTCATTCTACCCCCGGGGAGGACCCAAGACACGACTACTTTGGCCAGCTCCCGGCAAATTTGGGGTCCGACCCTGAGAAGCAAGACATTCGAGCTGACAGCGGACACCCGCCGTCTGATCCTGCTGCAGCCGATCACATCTCGGAGCAGCTGAGCATCCACTACACCGACTACTATCGTGATGCCCCACCAAAGTCGTACCGGCAGTCGCTCAGACCGTGGAACGGACGTCTTGTCAAGGACAAATGGCTTCGCGTCGCGGTCCGCCCCTTCATTCTTTTCGCCTATCCCGCAGTCCTTTGGTCGTCGCTCGTCTACGCTCTCGCTGTTGGTTGGCTGATCGTGCTTTCTGAGTCGGTTGCCCACATCTACCGCGATACCTCGTATAACTTCACCCCGCTTCAAGTGGGTCTCGTTTACATCTCGCCTTTCATAGGTGGCGTTCTTGGTACGGCAGTGGCAGGTCGAGTTTCCGACCTTGTAGTACGCTACATGGCGCGCAAGAACGATGGTGTATATGAGCCGGAATTCCGTCTTCTTATGGCGTTGCCAATCGCAATTAGCACTGTTATTGGACTTATGGGCTTCGGCTGGAGTGCAGAAGAGAAGGACAATTGGATTGTCCCTACCGTCTTCTTTGGCGTCATCAGTTTTGGTTGCTCGTTGGCTAGTACAACATCGATTACTTTCGTCGTGGACAGTTACCGCATGTACGCAGGCGAGGCACTTGTCACGCTCAATTTCTCGAAGAGTAAGTCGCTCCTCGAAACCACTTTGAGCATACACATGCTAACGCAACTTAACAGACGTTCTACACGGCTTCATTTTTTCCCTCTTCTTCCCGCATTGGCTTGAATCGAGTGGTAGCAAGGATACATTTTTGGCGATTGGCGGCATTCAGTTAGGATGCATGTTGTTCAGCATCCCCATGTACATCTACGGAAAGAGGGCACGCATGTGGACTGTCAGGAAGAACTTGATGGAGAAGTTTTAGAGGTATTCGATAGATTTGACTATGCGAAAAGATTGGATATGCAACAAGCAACTGTCTTCTCCCGTGAATTGCGAACAGTATTGCTGTTCGTCGTGCGAACATCTTGCATGAGGATGGTAAAGTGCCTGCATGAGGTATGTTATCTGCCAATGCCAATGTAAATGTAATCTTGCTCATCGCAGGTACGGCCGGATACAGATCGTGTCGGATCCAAGTAAAGAGAGTTCTGCTGATGAACTTTCGTCATCCTCTAAACCTTATAGTCTGTTGTTGTGCCGAACATGGACATCGAATCGATACCTAGTACACCGCTCGTTGCTTAGACGACGACGCTTCGCCCTTGGCGGCGGGCAGTATTTTGCGCTCGACGCACCCTGCGGCCCCCGCGCAGGCTACATCAAACAGCCCCTTCAACATCAGATTGAACCCTCACACCGCCTATACCACCGTTTTTGGACTTGCTAGATATCCTTCTTGTCACCAAATAACCCGCACATACACCTATATACACAATGGTATGTAAAAGATGTTCCTTCCCCCCGAAACTCGGACCCCGCATCACTCGTGGCTTCCACGCTATCGTTGGTTGGCCGCGGCCAGGTCGTCCCTGCCCTGACCAGCGGAAAATGGGCAGCGGCGAGTGGCCGCAACAGCACAACGCGCGTGCTTCACTTTGTCGCACATGGTGTCAACAGAGCCCCTTCACTCCGGCAGCAGCAACACATCGACCGAACGCTTCAACCTACAACAACAACCCCGCTACTAGCAACTTGACAACACACGAATCGAAGAGCAATGGATAACAGTAACCAGGCCTCCACAAACTACCGCGAAGCTTTCCAGCTCTTCGACAAGCGCGGCAACGGCCGTGTCGACCGCGGTGCACTGGGCGACCTCCTCCGCGCATGTGGCCAAAACCCTACACTGGCTGAAATCGCCGACCTCGAGCGTGGTGTTGGTGCAGACTGTACGTATCTCCACATACTCTGATGCGCCTTTCGAGGCGTCTCACTCCCGCTGCATCCGTATTGCAGGGCTAACGACTTGTGTACAGTCGACTTCGACACCTTCTCCAAGATCCTCAACCGCCCCGGCGGCTTCCGCGAACCCTTTGACATCGAAGAGTACATCCGTGGCTTCCAGGTATTCGACAAGGATAGGAGTGGCTTCGTCGGCAAGGGTCAGATCAAGTACATTCTGACCAACTTGGGCGAGAAGATGAGCGAGGAGGAGGTCGATGAGCTGTTCAAGAGCACCATCGATGCTAGCAATAACGAGGTGGACTACAGGGGTGAGTCTCTACGTGTCCACATACACTGAGAGTGACATTGGCTAACTCCTTGCTACAGAGTTCGTCAAGACGATTGCGGAGAACTAGGCTACGGTTCCTGCCGTCCTTGTTTCGTTTCTTCGGCACCATCTTCTTCTCCTACATTAGGATTTTACGCGAGCATGTCTGAAACGGGTCACGGTTTTTTGCATGCGGATTACGTCGGCGTTGGAACTGTCTTAACATGATATATATACACTTCTTTGATATCTGCACAGTAGGGCTGCAGGGCATGGGAGTCGGATAGCTGCGAGCAGCGAATCAAGATGCACAGACAATATGATAATAAGTCGAGTAATGCAAGTCACGCATGTGCAAGTGAGAAGCTGTTGTAAACAGGGAATGCAACTCTGTTTTTGGATCCATAAGGGACGCTGTGTGCTTATAGACATGTAGGCTTCTTTCCTCCTGTAGCATGAGAAGCCTTGCGCGTTCACCAATGGGGTATCTAGATGTGAGAAGGGTGAGGAAATAAAAACGTCCCGCTGATCCACGCGGCCAAACTCCGAGCGACATGGAAAAAGCAACCGAAATCAATAAACGCCGAGACCCAGATTCGTCAGGGTAATCGTAATCGTGATTCCATAAATTCTGTTGAGAAGCACTGTGCGTAATCCCCAGGGGGAAGAGTAGCGGAAGGTGGGGAGCCCCAGGACTCAACGGCTGACGGATCCGCCCTATGCCTTGACCTGAGTGACATTGACAGTGCCCATCCCTGCGCCGCCCACTGCGGATGCAGATGCGGGTGCGGTAGCCGTCTTCCCCATGATCATGTCGCTCGTCTTGACGAAGCCACCCGGGAGAAGGAAGACGTAGTCTTCGCGCCTGCCGGACCGATCGACGGAGAACTGTTGCCAGTCTAGCTGGTAGCCCACGACCAGGTTGCACCGTCCGCAGCGCTGTAGATAACGCTTCTCGAAGCCCTCATCGCTGGTTATGATTTCAGCTTGGCGATCTTGTCGGGTGGACAAGAGGAGGCCGTAGTGGTCTTGCGAAGCCGCGTTCTTGTTGCGACCGGAAGTGGGCGCTGGAGGCAGCGGCATGATGTGTGCGGCATCGCGCGTGTGTTGGCGTTTGGGTAAGGAGGGCAGTGGTGTGGTGGTTGCGAGTAACAGATGGTTGCACAGGCAGTGGTATGTGTAGACTGTATTGCTGGCCTGGAGGGAAATCTTCTCCTCAGGAGTGGGAGAAGGCATGGCGAAGTAGGCGCGGGAAGTAGTGGCGATATCCATCGTAGAGGTTGTGTGAGTGGGTGTATGAGAGGAAGGTGTAGTGGACGGTCCTGGAACAGGCGTGTCGGGGAATTTATGCTTGTGAGCAAGAAGCGATGCCGAGACCCTTTATATAGTCGCCTAGAAATGATGCGCGGTACCGATCAACGGAACCGTGGTTGGATGGATACAGCGAGAACGCGGGCTGGCGTATGTGGTAGTCGCGCTATGTAATCGAAGTGGAACGTGGTGGAATATGCTATGTCCGATTGGAGTTGAGACGGGCAGAAAATCGGAGGTCCGACCCTCTTATAGCTGGAGCGAAGGAAGGTCGACAACGAACCCTGATGCTGGTTCCTACGCTTGAGAAACAAGCGTACGTGGTGGGACTGTGGGGATCCTTCCTGTCTCGTCGTGCACAATGTAGGATCGCCGCCAGTGCAGAGTGCCAAGTCAATCAATAGTAGCTTGTCTGTGCAAAGGCAGAAGCGGGTGAGGCGGAGGCGGAGGCGTGTTTGCGCTGGAGGGTAATTTGTTTGAAAGCCGGGCCGGGCTCGAAACCCTATGCTCCAGCCAAGCTCAGTTATGAGACCCTCTTGGCGTGTCCTGTTGGTGGAGTAAGCGGTCCAAGTAAGCTAAGCTTGGAGTCAGAGGGTGCTAGCAGAAAGGTCTGAGTGAAAAGGGTCCACTAGGCGCTCCACAGTAGTAACGGGAATTGATAAGAGCAAGCAGTGCAGGTGGGCATGGGCTTCAGGCAGAGGATGTGAGATTTATAGCGCCATACATAGGCGGCCGGCGGAGGAGGAGTAAGGGCAGAGGGCGTCGGCGGCGTCATTGCAGATTGCGCGGACAGCGGCCAACCCCACGATGCGGCGTCGGCGTCCCCACGGTGCTGGACGTGCGCCTGGGTGTGCGAATCGATGTGTAGCACCTCAGCACGCGTCGCATCAGTTCGACGCGGATTGCGCCGCCTGCAACTCAGCATGTGACACGATATGAGATTGGGCCGAGAACGGGGCCCTTTGGTCGCCTCGCCTCGAGATTCCGGTGTAGCGTGGGCGCTACGGCGGTGGTGGGGTGAAGAGGTATGGCGTGCATGGTGCATGGAAGCGCACGAGGAATGTTCCGTGCGCCGTCGCCCGCTGGCGCTGAGTTGAGACTGCTTGGCGCCTCAGTGCTTGCGACGACGCTTAGACGCCATCTGAGGCGACACACGGGGAGGATGCCGCTCACCAAGGACGTCGTCAAGTTTGGCTCCTTTGTCGTCACCAACCAGGTGCGTTGCGCCTGTGCAGCTGCTGCCGTAGTCGCAGCTGAAGCTAACTCCATGTAGGTCTTCCACCTAACACGCCTGTCCTTTGCCATAGTCAACCTCAAGCCACTGCTGCCCGGCCATGTCTTGGTTTCGCCGCGTCGGGTCGTGCCACGTTTCAACGATCTATCCGCTGCCGAAGTGCAAGACCTCTTCCTGACTGTACAACGCGTATCCCGCATGGTGGAGCGGGTCTTCAGTGCCTCGTCTCTCAACATCGCCATACAGGATGGCGTCGATGCAGGCCAGAGCGTGCCTCACGTTCATGCACACATCATCCCTCGCAAGAAGGATGACCTAGAAGAGAAGGGTGGCACCGATGCTATATACGCTATGATGGAGAGCGAGGACGCAGACCTCAGTAAGCAGCTAGCCAACAAGGAGAGGGCAGCCGGGGCAGGTCTCGCTGAAGAAGAGAGAAAGAGTCGCTTTCCTGCTGTGGACAATGATAGCCGCAAGCCCAGGAGCGACGACGAGATGCAGAAAGAGGCCGAATGGCTGGCAGAGGAGATGGCCCGCGACGAACAAACCGCAGGGACTGCATAAGATGGCCAACGCGCTGTCTAGGTGGTTTCTTTTTGGACCGTCATACTATACTCGGAGACTATATGCATCGCAGCTACTGCAAGCAATGGCGTCCACATTGGACTCAAGCCTTGCCTCATACTTGCAGATGATGGATGGTGCATATGCAGACGCTTGCAGTTCAGAACAGTGTGCTTGCAATAAATGAGTGCCCTTCATAAATCCAACACTGATAAATCCTGGATTTGTCGTCACGCAGTCATCTCCTCCCGTCTCTTCCCGTCCGCTCGCTTGAGCGCCATTGTACTTTCGACGCTTCCTCGTTGTCGAGAAACCCTGCATAGCCTTCGAACGCACAATGCAAAATGGCCTATTCTGCACGGTAACAAGCATACCGGGATTCGCGTCAACATCTGTACCTTTGCCTGCGGCGCAGTCGCGTTTGCTTCCGTTATGCAGGAAATCTTGGCGCTGCAGCCTGCAGCCTGGATTGCCGCCCCAACACCGCGCCTTCTACCGTCGTGTATATCACGCTACCACTGGTAACATTCTCCTCGTTCCTCGTGTCTTCAAGAAATAATCCTTCAGCAGTCGCCCCAGATCACTTCGCTCCAGGTCGCGGGTTCGTTAGAACGCTGGGTCTTGGCGTAGGTAGCCTTTGCTGTGTAGTACCAAGGTACCGCTCAGTCGATAAGCTGATCAACTTCAAATTGTCGGCCTCCTGCGAATATTTCAAACCATCGCTCACGATTTCAACATCCACAGGTCGTCGTTACAGCAAAACAATGACGTCCTCTAATACCGACTCAGACTCTGATGAAGTCGAATTCCTACACGAGACATACAAGGGAAAGGAAGTCATTACTCTCCAGGACGAATTCGAGCATGCCAACGACACTGATCAGACGTCTCGCAACTACTCATCACCATCTATGATAGGCTTCCGCCTGCTCGATCTTCCCGCGGAACTGCGAATCCACGTATACTCGTTTCTGATCCCACACAACATGGAAATTACATTCGAGCGGTATGGATGGTCGAGTAGCAACGAACCCGACTGGACCACAAATGCCTTCCGAAAGGACGAAGACGTCTCATACAAGATAGGAAGCAATCCATATTACAAAAACACAAAAGTGCGCCGCTATAACCATTTTACGGTCGAGACACAATTATTCCGAGTGAGTAAATTCGTCTCCAATGAGACCAAGTGTAAGTCATCCCGTTGACTCGTATCATTTTGTACTAACGCTTCCAGCGGTTATGTATGGGTCGAATACCTACAACTTTACTGTACATGGAAATTCCATGTGGCCAAAGTCACTACGGAGCCCGTTCGTCTTTGGACCTCTCGGTCATCCCGATCGACTCCCTCTACTACGTAACCTGCGAAGCATCCATATCGACGTAATACCCGATGTCGATAGCCACTGGGCGGTTAAGCGTCAGCGGTCAAGACTTGAGTATCTTGTCGAAATCCTGAAAGAGCATGCAGATGACACCGACCAAAAGTCTCTTTTGCAAGATCTGAAAGTTGATTTCCAGCTCGTCTCACGAGACAAGATGAAGAGGATGCTGCGCGATCGTCCTACCTGGCAGCAGGTCGTAAAGCCTAGTATTCCTGAAGACACTGGGAAGTTCATGTTCGGTCTTGAAAGCCTGGCATCCCTTCGGGGTATCAGAGACGTCGAGATCAACGGACTACCGGAGTGGTACACGAAATGCCTACAGCTAGCTATACAGGGCAAGGGAGGAGACATTCAAGAGACGGACTGGCCGCTCGTGGAAGTCAAACGTCGTGCGAATGGGAAGCGCAGGTCGTCGAAGAAGTTGTTCGTCTCGATTCGCAAATGGCATCAGCCAACGCTGGATTGGAAGGAGTTTGCTGAACGTAATGACATCACAACCCCAGCTGACATTGACAAGTTCTGGGCAGACGAGGCGTAGACTTGGCTGGTGTGCATGCTTATCTTACTCAAACAACGAGGCTATGTACACTA